TTTCAGGGGGCGGCCCAGAGCGGGTCTGTGCCCATCCCAGGACCGCCTCAACCCCCTCCTGTCCTCTGACTCAGCAGGCAAGGCCCCCTTCACCAGCGCGGTTCCCTGTGGTGGCGAGGTTTGTTTGAAGAAGACAGGATTTTACAGCCACAAGCAGGTTCAAATATCGTCTCTCTAGTTCAGAAGTTGTGAGCTAGCGGCCCGTAGTTTTATTTGGTTCATATGATGATTTTTTTTTAAAAAGATTTTATTTATTTATTTGAGACAGAGAGGATGAGAGAGAGAGAGCACATGAGAGGGGGGAGGGTCAGAGGGAGAAGCAGGCTCCTCGCCGAGCAGGGAGCCCGATGCGGGACTCGATCCCGGGACTCCAGGATCATGACCTGAGCCGAAGGCAGTTGCTTAACCAACTGAGCCACCCAGGCGCCCCCTCATATGATGATTTTTGAAGTAATTGCATGAGTGGAAACATCGACATCAGGCAGTTTCTTGTTAAAAAAAAAAAAAAAAAGCAAGCCAGGTTTTGCCTTCTTTTGAAGAGCCGGGCCATCTGGTGTCTCCGAGCAGCAGTTGGGTGGTTGGAACCAGGGAGGGTGGGTGGCCTCCCTTTCGGGACAGGTCCGAGCTCTCTGGTCTGCCCCGCTGCCTGGCCCCCGTTAGCCTGTGAATCGGCCTCCCCTGCTCGAGTCCAGTTCCCATCCGGGACCCACAGGGAGATGCAGCCTGGGCTGCAGGGGCCTCGCCCCGGGACCCTGAGGGCTCAGTCTGCCCCTGCACCCCAGCTGCAGGCTCACACAGCCTCCCCCCCGCCCCCACCACCGCCCCAGGTGTGCTCATGTACCGGGACTACCCCCTGGAGCTGTTCATGGCCCAGTGCTACGGCAACGCGAGTGACCTGGGCAAGGGCCGCCAGATGCCCGTGCACTATGGCTGCAAGGAGCGCCATTTTGTCACCATCTCCTCTCCGCTGGCCACGCAGATCCCGCAGGGTGAGAACTCGTCCCGGGCCACGGGCTCACAGACCAGCATCCTCCCCTGCGCGGCCCCAGCCCTTCCGGGGGCCTCCTCATGGGTGCCGGGCTCAGAGCGCTGGTCGGGGCTCCAGACTTTACATTTACAGACCCCTCTCGTCTGGGAGTCTCCACAGGAGGGCTGTGGTTTGGCAGGCTGGAGCTGGCATGGGAAGCTCTCATTTCCCAAACTGCCCATCCCGTTGGTCTGCTCACTGACCCGGCAACTGTGCCTGACTGAGCGGGTACCAACTTCCTTGCAAGGGTCTCTGGGCAGAGCTGGGTTCTTGCCCCCGAGTCTGCTCCACCTCACTCCTCGGAGTCTCACTCCCCTGAAGCTTACTCTGGAAGCCCACGTTCCCTAGAGCAGTCAGAGCAGACTCTCTCAGGGCCAGGCCCGCGCCCGCACGGCCCGGACACCCTGGAACCTGCCCCGTGGACCCTGCAGTCCAGTCGAGGGCCGGGCTGAGCAGCGTGCTGGTTGCAAGGCCCATTCGTACATGTTAGCTCATAGTGCCTGGAATGAGGAGCTGTTTGCACCTCTGACGTGGGAGGCGGGCAGGGCAGTTTTGTGAGAGGAGGTGGCATGTTCCCTGCGGGGAAGTAGGATTTCCAGAAGGCTGGGCCCTGGCCCTTACCTTCCATTTGAGTGACCATTCAGCTGCTCAGCGGGCGAACGAATGGAGTCCCTGCTCTGTGGGCGCCGTGCTGGGCGCAGTGAGCAGGAGACAAACACCTCAGCCCTCCTCCATGTGGAGGAGACAGACAGGAAGCATGCAGGAGGAGCCCAGGGAGGGGATCAGGGGTGAGCAGTCCTGCAGGGAGAAACACAGCCTAGATGTGATGGAGGAAGGTGGGGGGTTGCATCAGAGGTGACATTCCATACAGACCAGGAGGAGCCAGGGAGGGTGCCATGTGGGGTCTTGAGGCAAGTGCCTGCTTGACTGCTTGAGGGGGCAGGGGGAGCTTGAGGCAGGTATGGAACCGGGTAGGGAGGCCAGGAGGGGGCGCAGAGAGGTGTGGGAAGGCTGCAGATGCAGGGGAGTCTGAGGGCAGTGGGAGCCGCAGGGGGGAGAGGCGCTGGGCCAGAATGTCAGCCTGGTTCACATTTTAACCATTTTAACTGGCCTCTGGCTGTCCCAGGGTAACGGGTGGGGGCGGGAGGAGCGGGGGGGGGGCCTGTGAGGAGGCTGCTGGGAGCTCAGGCGGGAGGTGACTGGGCGAGCCGACTGGCAGGAAGGGGGGGGACACGGGGTCAGGTTCTAGCGGAGTTTTGAAGGTGGAAGAGGTGTGGGGAGCTGTGCAGCTGGGAGCCAGAGGAGCCCCCCCGCCGCCGAGTGTTTGGCCCGCACAGCTGGAAGGGGGGAGCGGCCATCGGGGGGGTGGGGTGGGGGCTGAGGCAGTTTGTGGGGTGCAGCGGGAGGGCAGAGCCGGGTGGGGAGAGTGTGCGGCTCTGCTCCTGCTCACCCCCCTCTCCCCCTGCAGCGGTGGGGGCGGCCTATGCGGCCAAGCAGGCCAACGCCAACAGGGTGGTCATCTGCTACTTCGGGGAGGGGGCAGCCAGCGAGGGGGACGCACACGCCGGCTTCAACTTCGCCGCCACCCTCGAGTGCCCCATCATCTTCTTCTGCCGGAACAACGGCTATGCCATCTCCACGCCCACCTCGGAGCAGTACCGCGGGGACGGCATCGGTAGGGGCCCCGTGGCCACTCCCCAGTCCTTTCCCTCCCGTGTGTCTGCAACAAGGGAGGCCGCAGGAACGCTGCTTTGCTGCCCCCCCCCCCCCGCATTGTCCCCATCTGAGCCCCGGGGCCGCCCTGCCTCTCTGTCCCCACAGCTGCCCGAGGCCCTGGCTACGGCATCATGTCCATCCGCGTGGATGGCAACGACGTGTTTGCTGTGTACAACGCCACCAAGGAGGCCCGGCGGCGCGCTGTGGCGGAGAACCAGCCCTTCCTCATCGAGGCCATGACCTACAGGTGCCTGCCTCCCCCATCCTCCCCCGCGGCCTAGACCCCATCTCCCCTGCGCAGGTCACTGGCCCCCGGAGCAGGACCCCGTCCCCCATATTGGATCCCCTTCATGGCTTGTATCCCATTGCCACCCCTTCTCCCCTAGTCTGCCCCCTCCCTCCTGACCCACTGCAGGGGGCTCCCTCCTCAGGATCGGCCACCACAGCACTAGTGATGACAGCTCAGCCTACCGCTCGGTGGACGAGGTCAATTACTGGGACAAGCAGGACCACCCCATCTCCCGGCTGCGCCACTACCTGCAGAGCCGGGGCTGGTGGGACGAGGAGCAGGAGAAGGCCTGGAGGAAGCAGTCCCGCAAGAAGGTGGGGGCCTCCCTCTGTTGGAAAACGTGCCCCGGGGGGCGTGGTTTGGGGCGGTGCGAGGTGGAGAAGCCGAGAAGCATTGGGGGGCACGGAGCTGGGAGACCTGGGCACAGCCCAGCAGGGTCTCTAAGTGCAGTCCTCAGTGCCAGGCTGCCTGGGCAGGCGCCTCTGCCGGGTTCTAGCTGTGTCCTCGGCCCGCCGCCTGCGCTCCACACCCTCCCGTCTGAGGAGGGACATGGCGTCCTTGTCAGAAGGTGGGCAAGGGGTAGGCGACCTAATCCGTGTGCAGTGTGAGTGTCCCACCCTCCTCGGCTGGGAGCCTGGCGGTGCGCCCAGTGGGAAGGGCCACCCTCCCTCCGGGCCTCGGTTTCCTCACCTCTAAATGGCCTGCTGCAGGGTTCTGCATTTAGTGTTGGACCGGACCGTGCTGGGGGGAGGAGAGGCCGGGGTTGGCAGGGTGGGTCCCTGACAAGGTGGTTCTTCTCATCCCTGCTGATCCTTGCCTCTGTTGTCCAGATGGGAGCCCCCCGCCGGGGTCCCACAGGTGGGGGGTGAGGCTGCGTGTCTACTGCCCCACCTCCCCCAGGTGATGGAGGCCTTTGAGCAGGCGGAGCGGAAGCCGAAGCCCAGCCCCAGCCTGCTCTTCTCAGACGTGTACCAGGAGATGCCCGCCCAGCTCCGCAAGCAGCAGGAGGCCCTGGCCCGGCACCTCCAGACCTACGGGGAGCACTACCCCCTGGACCACTTTGAGAAGTGAGGCCTGCTCGTCCCCCGACCCCCACCTCAACCACCCCGAGGGGCAGCCCCACTCTGCGGGGTGGGGGGGGGCCCAGGGAGCAGCAGGATGCCACCCTCCTTCCCCAGTGAGCTTCCTCCAAAATACTGGGGCCAGGGCTCCAGCCCCCCCATCCCCACTCCTCCAGGCTGTTACCCTGGGGGGCCTCAGTCGGCCCCCTCCTTGCCTGTTACAGTGCCTTCTCCCAGGGGCTGGGTCAGGGTGCCTCCAGGACTAGAAGCCCCTCTGGGGTGGGCGTGGTGGGTCAGCCTGTGGAAGCCACTCCCCCAAAGCGAGAAGTGGTCAGCAGGTGGCCAATAAAGAGAGGTGGTCAGCAGGCAGCCAATAAACTCTATCTGGCTCTGTACCCCTCCTCTGGTCTGTTTCCTGGAGTTTGGGAGGTGGGAGGAGAGCCCAGCATGACCGGTTTGGGACCACCCCTTCTTTCTCCCCTCTAGGTAAAAGGCCGGGGTGTTGAGACATGTAACTTCCCCCGGAAACTTTAGCAAGCTGGAGAGTCCGTTTCTGCAGACAGGGTCGGCGGGGGGTCCTCCTGAGACGTTCTCCTGTTCTCCCTTAGGTGGGACAATGCTGCCATTCAGCAAAGTGACCAGGAGGCCACCAGAGCTGGTCCTGCCCAGTAATAGGGGGGGAAGGCGTCCAGTGTGAAGGTCACGGTGCAGCTGTGCTCACTGGGTCAGCCCTCCGGGGCCCCATGGGCACAAAGACGACGCCAGGTCTCAGAGTGGGGGGGGGGCGCGCATATTTTTCAAAAAACAAGAAGTAGACAAAAACAGTCTGTTGCCTCCTGCTGCCCAGCCCCCTTGCCTGGGAGGGCCCCAGAGGGGCTCAGGCGGTCATGATGCTAGGATTCCTCCCTCACGCTGAGGCCCAGGAGGAGAGGCCGAGCCAGGGACGGGCACCCGGGTGTGGGCCACGGCTGCCCCCCCCTCCTCTCCCCAGCTCCCCCCAGGCTCAGCACCGGAACTGGGGGTCCCGCAGCTGCTTCCAGAGCTGAATGGTTTTCTGGGGGCTGAGGGGCCGCACCAGCAGCAGGTCCTGGAATGCGCAGGGGTCAGCCGTTCGGTCTGCCGGCCAGGCTGTGCGGAAGCCTTTGTGATCCCTGGGTGCCAGGCCCAGGGCACGGAAGCACAGGCCCGTGTAGACATCGTCGAAGGGGAAGGGGGCCACGCGGGCCGCGGCCTGCAGCAGCCAGGGGGCCAGGCGCCCAGCGATGACATAGCCACCCCCGCTTGCGTAGGCCGGGTAGTGACCTTTAAAGAAGGACGGGGGCACGTAGAAGGGTCCTCTGGGCTTCCGGAGGGGTTTGGCATGGGTAAAGACCTCCCCCAGGTAGAGGCCTCGGGCCCAGCTGGGTGGCAGGCCCCGCAGGTGGTCCAGAAGGGCGGGCGTGCGCACGAAGGCATTGTCCGGAGCTTGCAGGACGAAGCTCACGCCTGGGCAGTGGCGGCCCAGCCAGGCCAGCAGCAGCAAGTCTTTGAGCGTCCGATTGAAGGGGACGTCAAGGAAGTCCCAGAGCAGCAGGTCACTGTAGCGGCGGCTCTCCCAGGCCACCAGGGAGCTCAGGTTGGGCCCCCTCTCACCCTCGGGCGACCCCAGCAGGAAGAGCAGTCGGACTCCGGGAGCCGGACTGCCCCACGTCTCCCTCACGGCCTGCCGTTCCGCAAAGCGCCCCGGTTCCGACTTGACGGCCAGCAGCAGGTAGGGGACGTCGGTGCCCGAGCAGCCGGCCACTTGGCTGCCGCCGCTCCTGGGCTGCCAGGGTGGGAAGCTCCGGCAGGCCGCGGACAGCAGGAAGCGGCGGAGGCCCGTAGGGTAGGAGTTGAAGTCTGGGATTTTGGAGGCAGCAGCGGCCCCCCAAGCCCGGCAGCCCCCTGCCTCCGCGCTGTCCCCACTGGGCAGGGACCCCAGCCGCCACTGCTGCTGGTTCCAGTAAGCTGAGGGCAGTGGGCCGGTGTGGCCCAGACGGGTGGAGAGGTTAGCTGGCAGGGTGGGCTCGGGGCTGGCGGGTGTGGGGCCTGGTGGGGTGTCCCGGGGTCCCTGGTAGGCTTTGATTAGCCGAGACTCAGACGTCCACTCGATGTATACCTTGAGGCCCAGGAGCGTGAGCAGCGCTGACAGGCAGAGAAGGCACTTGGGGCAGCGCATGACCCAGCCCAGGGAAGGGGTGGGAGCTGCAAAGGAGCCACAGAGGCTTTTGGGGTGCAGGGATGGGCACCAGCAGTCCCCGCCGGCCCCTGTAGCCCCTTCTCTCGGCCCCAGCCCCTAGGACCCAGCTCTTCCCTATTCCTGGAGCCTGGAACCCTGTTCAAATTCTTTCGACACCCTGCTCTTTCTGCTCGGCCCAGCCCATTCCACCGACCTATTCCGCAGCCCCACCCCAGGGACTGGGGACTCGGCCATTCCAGCCCCCCTTCATTCCCTCACCAGGAGTCAGAATCACAGGGTCAGCCCTTTCACCTTCTAGAAACCCAGCCTCCCTCTTTTCAACAGTCCCCACCCCAGGGAAGGGGGGCCAGGGACCTGCTCCCTTCTCTTTACCTCTGGGTCCAGCTCCCGCCTGCGCGGCGTCCGGGGCCTCTGGTCAGGCCCCCGCTCCCGCTCCCTCCCTTCTGCCCCTGCCTAGCGGCGGTGCTGTAGTCGGAGCCCTGCCCAGCCAGTCCGGAGGGGCGGGGAGGGGCGGGGAGGGAGGCCGCCAGGGCCCCAGGGGCCGGGAGGGGCTGGGGCGGGGCCGAGGGAGGAGGGGACAGGAGGGGAGGGGAGGGGAGGGCAGGAGGCCGACCTGAGGGATGGGGCTCTAGGCATGTTGGGGCTGGTTTTCTGGTGAGACAGCGGAAAGGTGCAGGGTGGTCAAAGACACAGACGGGGGACCCGGCGAGGCCCGGCGGGGAGAGCCAGGGGCCTGGGAGAGTCTGGGGGGGGGGGTGGTGAGGGGCCAGGCCCGAGCCTGGGCTGGGCAATGGCGAGATGGCCCAGGGACAGGCAGAGTCCCAATGTGGTAGAGCTGGGCGGGGTGGGGGGGGTGGGGGCGCAGCTGGCGCTTGGCTTTGGAGTCAGCGGCGGCAGCGAATGTGCCGAGGGGATGGGTCGGCCGTGCCCGGGATGGGGTGTGTTGTGGCCGCCGGAGTCAGGGTGGGGGTGGGGAGGGGGCTGGTGGGGAGGAGCGATGAACTGGGTGGGTGGGGAAGGAGGGGTGGGGGAGACCTCTGGGGCAGGCGGGGGAAGGGAGAGGAGGGACGGAGGGGGAGGGGGAGAGGAGAGGGAGGGAAGGGATGTGGAGACCGGGAGTGAGAGATCCCGGGTAGACCGAGGCCCCTGTGCGGGAGGGAAGAGAGACGTTAGAGGCAGGTGGGTGACCCTCGGGGTGGGACTGAAGGGCGTCTGCGGACCTCCGGAGCCAGGGCGGAGCAGGAGCGGACTAGATGGAAGGGGCGGGGGCGGGGGCGGGGGGTGCCAAGCAAGAGGCCAGTGGAGGGTGGGGTGGGGGCGCCGGGGGCCCTTGAGCTGAGCTGAGCCCCGCACCTCCTCCGCCCCCTTTGGTGCCGGGTGTTTGCATTGCGGGGGCGCGGATCCATCCCCACCCTGTCCACCCCCCCAAGCCCCGCCTACAGCTGCACGGTGACTCTGGGAACACTCACATCCGGCCCCCCGGGACAGGAGAGGGAGTCTGCTTGTGTTTGCGTCCCTGCCCTCCGGGGCCCCTGCTGTTGGGGCTGCATCAGCCGTCTGGGAGGTGGGCAGGCAGGGCCTCCTTATCCCTGACCAAGGGCCCCACTGAGCCTGGCCTGACCCCCTTCGCTCCATCCTGGGTTGGGAGGACTGTCTGGATCCTCCCATCCTTGGCACCCTGTCTATCAGCAGCCGCTGGTTATCTGTCCAGAGCTGATTTCCAACCCCCGAGTTTGAGTAATGGAGCCCGTGGGAGCAATTGGAGGAAGAGCGTGCAGAGGAAGTGTTGGATATTAATGCCCTAGAAGCCAGAGTGGGCAAGGATGGCCAGGAGCCCCTGGGGCAGGGAGGGGTCTCCCAGCCTCCCCCGTCCCACCCCGGACTTGGGAGAGGCAGCAGGGCCCCCGCCCCCACAACTCCCCCCCCCCCATCTCACTTCTCCCGACACTGCCCCTCCTGGGGGTAGTTGCAAATCTCAAGGTACGGTTTGGGTTGCTCTGGGCATCAAGAGTCCAATCAGGAGAAACCACCCAGCAGTGGGAACAGGGCAGTCCATCATCGAGAATGACCCAAGAGGTGCCTTCTTGTGGAACACAGTAGGGGGTGGAAGTGCGGCTCCCACACGAGCAACCTGGTCCAAGACCACCCTCCCTGAGCTCTGGGTGCCCCCTCCGGATTATGCCAGGGAGGCTCAGCTCCGTGTCTCAGTAACCAGAGGCCACGCTTGAGTCCAAGTTCTAGTCAGCGACCTGAGAAAGCCGTTAGAGCCACCCAGCAGCACTAGCTAGCTACCTCATTACCTCAAGTGCGTGCCCCGGACCGGGAACTTGGTCGTCACTGGTCTAACACCCTTAGACTGGAAGCCGGCCACCCGCCCCCCCCCGGCTTCTGACTGTATGTTTGCCAATCTTGCCATTCTTCTAGTGTAGAGGCTGTCCCCTCGGGGTCCTCGTGGGTGGCTGCGTCCCGGAGCCTGCTGGGGCGTAAGCCTGGGGGTCTGGGGGTCTGGTGAGAGCAGGGGCGCACAGGGTTTCCAGCCCAGGCAGGCCGCTGGTCTCCTCACACACTGGGCACGGACGCTCGAGTGATTAGGGGGTTCGAGATCGACCACCCCATTCCAAATTTCAGGGTCCCTCTGTGTACCAGGCGGCTCCCTCCCTTGCACATGAGAAACTGGTCGAGACGGGATCCGGCAGCCCGCAGGCTTAAATGCCGCGGTTTCAGCGCTCCTAGGACCTCGGGGGCAGCACGGAAGCTCGCCGTCCCCTTCTCAGAAGGCCGCCTGAGCGGAGCCAACAGACCAGAGGCTGTCCTTGTCTGTGAGCGCTCAAGGGCGCTCCGCAGTCTGCCCAGCACCTATCTTTGGAGCTGTCGTTAGCGCCATGGCGGTCAGGTGCAGCGGCCGCAGGGCTTCCGGGGCTCCCCGGGCTCCTCAGCCGGCACCCCGTCCCAATCCCCCCAGCCAGAGCTGGGCCAGAGCTGGGCCACCACCGCCTGCCTGCCGCCGCGACAGTCTCCCCAGCCCGCTTCCCAAAGCCGCGGAACCAAGCCCAAATCCCCCCTTTGTGCGTCCGTCTCCTGGAACGCTCCAGATGCCAGTGCCGGATCAGTGTGGATCCAGTCAGGAGAGAAAAACCAAACTGTAATTCGAACAGGTGAAGTTTAACATCAGGAACTGTTGACTTTGAACAGCGAATTGAAATAAGGGATTCACGGAGAGGGAGCCTTGGCATCTGCTGAAATCCCCCTCTGGGACGCAGCAGAGAGCCCTCCGCACGCGGGTGCCTCAATGGGGGGCACTGCTCTCAGACTGCTGGGGGGGCCGGGGAAGCTGCCGGCCGCCTTGGCACTTCAGGAGCCACCTGCTGGGGTGGCCGCGCGCCCGGCAGGAGCCCGGGAGCGCGCAGAGCTCACCCACGGAAGCCGAGGCTCTCCTCCTGGGGTCTCTCGGGCGCCCTCTACCGACAAGCCTTACCACGCCACTTAGCGAGGGAAAACTACTGCAAAGGCCCGGGCCTGTTTTCACGGAGCAAACAAGAGCTGCATTTGGAGCCGACGGATTAGCGGGAACGCCGGGGGCTGAGGGGGGGCTCCGGGCGTTTGGCGAGTGGAGGCCAGGGATGCTGCAGCGGGCGGTGAGCTGAGGGGTGCCCCACAGGGAACCGGGCCAGCAGCACGTTCGAGTAAGGATACTTTGAGAAGAGTCTCTGGACAAGTCAAGAGCAGGGGTTTCTTGACGTGGTAGTGGCCAGGTATGGGGAAGTCAGGGGGTTGGGGGAGTGCAGCTTCCCAGGGTGGCTTACCTCCCCCAGGCCTGGGAGGCTGTTGGAACTCAGGAGAGAAGCCTGTGGAAAGAGTGGCCTGACCGATGACACAGGAGCTGTGACCTTTCAGCCCCGGGTGCAGCCAGCCCCAGCCCCTGAGGTGAGGAACAGGTACGCCAGCCTCCCGCTCTCCCCTTGGACCTGGTGGCGGTGCCGGCCACCCCCCCATGTGGAGTGAACCCAGACGGAAGCCCCGCTGCTGCCCAGCTTGATGGGGAGGGGGGCCGAGGCCTAGGCAGGGATGGGGCTGGCCGTGTCCCGGGACTGCTCCTCCGGCCCCGATGGGAGGCCCTGGGCCCAGTCAGCCCCCAGAACCTGGCAGCTGGGTAGCATCTCCTCCACCAGGATGCGCGTGAGGCCCGGGTTGGACACGGCGGGGAGGTCCGAGATGTCCAGCCTGCGGAGGTTCCTGAGGGGAGGCAGCAAGGGGGAGGCCCACGTAAGGAGGGCCTCCGTGTGGGGAAGGGTGTGGTGGGGGTGCGCCAGCCCCGGCTTCAGCCCCGAGCCCTGTAGCTGCCCAGAGAATGTTAGAGAGAGCTGGCCAGGGACAGACATCCACCGTGGGGACCCCAGATGCACACTCTGGCTCCTCCTGTTTTAAACAGTGTAAACATCATCGAGTTGTCATTAAAAAGGAAGAAAAACCAGGAGTGGTTTTGTGTCCATCCGTTCCCGCCCCCCCCCGGGACAGATTCACTGCAACTGCTCGCCTGGGCAGACCCGACACGCGCTCCAGGTTGGTCATGGAGGCAGGGCTACGGGGACTGCCCGACTGCCTGCTCCACCCCCCCCGCCCCCCAGCTTGGGGCCCAGCCTGAGCTGCGGTCTCACTGCAGGTGGTGGAGGCTGGCGAGGCCCCGTTCGGAGATTCGGGGACAACCGGCCAGCGAGAGCTCCTGCAACGAGTTGGCCAGTGGGTGGAGGCGGCCGAGACACCAGTCATCCACGTGGGGACAGCGCTGCAGCCACAGGGACTGGAGCTCCTTCAGGGCCACTGTGGGGGGGGGGGGAGGCACTGTGGTCCTTTCTGGAGCCCACCACAGAAGGGCAAATGCACGGCCGCCGTCTCCGCCCACTCACAGAGGCTGTCCAGGCCCTGGTAGTTGATGGCACAGCCACTGGCATCGACGGCCTCTACAGGAACCGCCTGGAACTTCAAGAAGTCAAGAGAGAAGTGGCCACGCGCATCTGACCGGATCCACTCCTTGCCCTGAAACCTGGAAGGGGACAGCGGGTGTGAGCAGGGCGCTTCCCCTCCCCAGCCCCGTGTGATGACGTGGTCGCACCACGTCTGGTGCACTTGCTACACATCAGGCCCTGCGCAATGCCCTTAACGTGGGGTCTCCCTGGGTCCCCGACATTCCCACGAAAGATGCAATGTTTGGCCTTTTTTTTTTTTTAAGTAGACGCCATGCCGAGCGTGAAGCCCAACATGGGGCCTGAACTCACGACCCTGAGATAGAGACCTGAGCTGAGATCAAGAGTCGCTCAACAGACTGAGCCCCTATTTGAAAAACTCCGATAACCTCAGAAAAGAGCGAGAATACAAGTCTTCATAGGCTGGCAAAAAAAAAAAAAGACATACTCAGACTTGTGGGCTGTTTCTGAGGAAAGTGCTGGAGGAAGGTGCTCAAACCAAGGGAACATTTTAGTTGGAGCCAAGTGAGGGATAGGTGCATGAGCTACGTTTTTCAGAAAAGAGGGAAAAGGAGAAAAAACAGAGAAGGAGGAAGGGAAGAAGGAGAAAGGAAGGCGAGAAGGAAGGAAAAGGAACAGCGACATTTACTGAGCCCTGTGCTGTGCCAGGCCTGTTCCAAGCGCTTCCACTGCAAAATGTCTTCGAATCTTTCCAGCAAACCTTGTAGGTTCCATACAACCACCGCCCCACTTTACAGGTGACGGAGCGGAAGCTCAGGAACAAGCTCCGCACAAGAAGTCCCAAGAGCCTCGGGCTCAGCGCTCCACAGCCTCCCCCCCACCGCCCCCCGCTGCTACCCCCTGCTGACACTTTTGCCCTCATACTTGACCGCGCCTCCCTGCTTCAGGATGAAATAGGCGCCTGCGGCGTGGGGACCGAAGCGCTCCTTGATGTAGGTGAAGGGCCTGTGGAGAGAACAGTGGCCGAGGCTGAGCACTGCACCCCGGCATCACGCCCCCCTGCCACTTCGAGGGTCAGAGTCCACAGCACCAGGACTGAGCCAGGCTGCAAATATTTACTGAGTGTCCATTCAGCACTGGGGACCAAGGCAGATAGCGGTCCCTGCTCTGTGAGGCTAATTTACAGAAGGAAACAGATAAGAAACCTGGAAGTTAAGAGCAAATTGCAGATCCATGATGGAAGTAACACAGAGGGACTGACTCAGGAGTGGCTTGGGCCAGGGCTGGAGATAGAGAAGGCTACTTCAGTTTGGGTGTCAGGAGGTGACGCTTGAGCAGAGATTTGAGTGGTGGGAAAAAATTCAAAAGTCAGGGCAAGAGCCTGCCAGGCCAAGGGAACAGCTGGTGCAAACGCTCAGAGGCTCAGCTTAGGAAGGCAGAACAATAAGGGCACCGTGCTGGTGGGGGTGAGGGGAGTCCCTGGTAGGGGTCTCAAAGCTCAGGTGTTAGGCTTGGGGTCTGGCTTTTATTGTAGTTGCAATGGGAAACCATTTGAGGGCTCTAAGCAAGGTGGTGGTTTTCTATTTTAGTTGTTTTTTTTTTTAATATTTTATTTATTCATTTGACAGAGAGAGCGAGCAAGCACAAGCAAGGGGAGCAGCAGGGGGAGAGAGAGAAGCAGGCTCCCCACTGAGCAAGGAGCCCGACATGGGACTCGACCCTGAGCCAAAGGCAGATGCTTAACGGACTGAGCCACCCAGGCGCCCCTCTATTTTATAGTTTCTTGAGTCCTTTGGATGACTTACAGCATAACAGACTGGAGGGGGCAAAAGATGACCAGTTCAGATTACTGTGCTCAACCAACCATAAAATGAAGGGGCTCAGACCAGGCTACGAACAGTGAGGAGCTTAACAACTGGGCACATCTGGGATGGTTTGGTACTTTATTGGTGGACTGGATGTGGAAGACAGAGAAGCAAGAAGAATCAGGAAGACTCCTTAGAATTTGGCCTGAGTAACTGGGGACAGTGCTGCTGTTTCCTGGGATGGGAAGGCTTGGGGGTGAGCACTTTCTTAGGGGGAAATCAAGGGTTTGCCATGGGCCATGTTAGGTTTGAGGTGCCGGCGTGACCTCCAAGAGATGGTGGGCAGCGGGTCACCTATATGAGCTGGAGCCCTTGGGAAGGGTGTGGCCAGAGAGGATGCAACTCGGCAGGCCGGTATAGCAGCTGCAGGGGCAGGTTCTGAGTTCTGCCTAGTAAGGCCCCAGCAGCAGGGTCTTGCCCACCAAGAGTGCTCACCGATTTTTCTGGTGCACCTTCAACACCTGCTTTCGGAGCAGGTACTCCCTGAGAGCCTGCACGTCATAGAAGCGGTCAGCCAGGAACTGGAGCAGGGACCTCCCCTTCTTCTGACTGCCCTCCGGGGCCACTGCCCTGCTCAGGCCACGGATGCCCCTGGTACCCCGGTTCCATACTGGCGTCACCAGGTGCAGGGGCTGGGGAGGGCAGGAAAGGAGAGGCTGAGCCTGGAGCCTCCTGTGAGAGAGTTGGATCCCCCTGTTCTTGGTCCTCCTCCTGCTGCACCCCCCCACCCCGGCCGCACTGCTTCTTCCTGGTTCACAAAATTCTCCTTTCAGAACTTCCAAATTCTGCTTTTGAGATCCCCCAAGTTTCCTGTTTGTCCCAAGTTCTTCCCCTTAATCAACCTAAATTCTCTTTGATTTAGCCAAACGTTCTTGGTCTTACCAATTTTCCTCCGATCTTTTCCTAAACCCTTATTTTTGTTTTAAGACCTCTATTATCTGACCTCTTAATTTCCCACAAAATACCCCCTTAATTTTATCCAATTTTCCCTGGAGTCTTCCTGAATAACCCATTTCTTAACCCCAAAATACCTTAATTTCTCTCCAAACCACCCTTAATTTACCTGTTAAAGCCCCCAAACTCTTCCTTCAATTTCCCTTCAGCGTTCTCTTGGCCTGCTCCAATTTCTTTTTCTGCTTCAACCAAATTTTCTCGGTAATTTACCCAAATCCTTATTTTCCCTCAAAAATTCCTAGGTCCCCAACCACTCACCTTAGTCTTCCTTAAATCCATTCCTTGACTTTAGGTCTTTCTTCCTAAATTCTCTCCTCGAATATCGCAAATTCTCCCCTTAATTTCCCCTAGGTCTTTCCCTTGGAACTCCCATATTCACCTTTTGGTTCCTCTCCCCGACCTCCACCGTCCCTTTGGCTTTCCATAAAAATGCATAGCTCTCCCATGAGCTTCCCTCACCTGTATCCTTTGATCTCCTACCCTTGGACCTCAAACCCCAGCTTCTCCACCAAACTCACCCAAACCCGCTTCCCTGGAAGGGCCCACTCGCGCCCGCCCGACTCCCAGCGCCCACAATCGGGTTTCTTCCTCTGATTGGCTGGGTGCGCCATCTTCGGAACGCGCTCCCTGCTTCCCCATTGGTTTCTCTCCACGAAGTCCCCGCCCCGCTTCCTCTCTAAAGCGCCCCGGCTGTCGGCGACTCGCTCCGATCGTTCTCGGCTCCCGAAGGTCGCATGTCGGCGCTCCCAGCATGAGCCTTAGCGGGAGAGGCCTCCTGCTCTCTCTTGCCCCTTGCTCCCTGGGTGCTGACAGAAACCCTGAAGGCGGAGGCAGCAGAGCGGACTTCAATTTTGGGGCCCTAGGAGTCCCGGTCACTTACCGCCCTGGGTGCCGCCATCTTGCTAGGATTACGTAAACGGAAGGGGCCGGTTTTTCTCAGTCCACCCACAAGGTTCGGCCTGAGACGTCTTTTCCTATGGCCACGCCCCCTCCATGTTCCAGCTCTCCTTTTAAAGGCACCGCACTTCTTACTCTAGTTGAGAGATTGCTTCGAATGCCATTTCCATGGTCCTTACAGTGAGACCTTGCCTCTTCCTCCAGCTTTCATTCGCTACCTCCTTAATGACTAGGAAACTGACCCAGTCATTCTTTACGCCTGGGTCAGGGAAGGAAAAGGTCTAGTGGGTGGTGAGGTTAGACTTTAGGGTGAGAGAGGTGAGGTCTCAAAGTATTATGATCGCGACTTCAGTTTGGAGTCCAGCGCTCTCTCTCAGTGTGAAGATTTACTGTGAAGTCTTGTGGGTAGAATCATTCATTTATTCGCAGAGGTTTACTGAACACCTGCCACGTGGCCTACACTGTTTTGGGTGCTCAGGTTACCATGGTGAACAAGACAGACCTTATCTCAGGGAGTCAACATTCCAGGTGGGGAGAGGATGGACAAGAAACAAATGAATAAGCAAGATAATTTCAGATAATGTTTGATAAGAGGCACATAAGAACAGGCAGTATAACTGGCGGTGACTAGGGGGTAAGGGAATCGGCAAAGGCCTTTCTGAAGAGGTGATATTTAAGCAGAGGTGAAGGAAGAGAAGGAAACAGCCAATTCAAAGATCTGGGGGAAAGGTATTCCAGGCAGACGTAACAGTGAGTGCAAAGGCCCAGGGGTGGGAACCAGCTGGCACAGAGAAGTAGGAGATGAGGTCAGAGAGGTGGGCAGGAAGCTGACTCTGTGCCGAATTCCATTCTCAGGGGCATATCATGATCTGATTTATGCCTTTTATTTTATTTATTTATTTTTAAGATTTTATTTATTTATTTTAGAGATACAGAGAGAGCAAGTGGGGGGAGGAGCAGAGGGAGAGGGACAAGCAGACTCTGTGCTGAGTAGAGCCCGACTAGGGGCTCAATACCATGACTGGGAGACCATGACTTGAGCTGAAATCAAGAGTCAGATGATTAACTGACTGAGCCACCCAGTCGCCCCTGATTTATGTTTTTCAAAGATCATTTCGGGGCGCCTGGGTGGCTCAGTCAGTTGTCTGCCTTTGGCTCAGGTTATGATCCCAGTGTGCTGGGATGGAGCCCAGTGTCAGGCTCTCTGCTCGGTTGGGAGCCTGTTTCTCCCTCTCCCTCTGCCCCTCCCCCTGCTTGTGTTTGTGCTCTCTCTCTTTCTGTCAAATAAATAAATAAAGTCTTAAAAAAATAAATATCATTTCTGCCAGGTGGAGAACAGACTTTAGGCAGCAAGGGTGGAAGTGGGAGCCAGCAAAAAGACTACTGCAGGAGTCCAGGCAAGAGATGAATGGAGACAGGAGCAGGGGTGGGGCAATAGGAACTGGTGAGAAGTGCTCAGATTATGAGTCTATTTTGAAGGTTGAGCCAATAGCTCCAGAAACTAAAGGGACAGGGATGCCACTTAGGGAGACGGGGAGACTGGGAAAGTGACAGGTTTGAAAGGCAGGTGTGGTGGGCTGAATAATGGACCCCCCCCAAAAAATTCATGCCCTGATCCTTGGAACTTGTGAATCTATTACTTTATATGGTAAAAGGAAGATGTGTTCAAGTTAAGAATCTGGAGATGGGGTCTGCCTGGGTGGCTCAGTCGTTAAGCATCTGCCTTCGGCTCAGGTCATAATCCCAGGGTCCTGGGATCGAGTCCCACATCGGGCTCCCTGCTCAGCGGGTAGCCTGCTTCTCCCACTCCCCCTGCTTGCGTTCTCTCTCTGTCGAAAAATAAAAATTAAAATTAAAAAAAAAGATTAAAAAAAAAAGAATCTGGAGATGGGGAGGTTATCCTGGGCCATCAGGAGGGGCCAATTTGATGACAAGGGTCCCGTTAGATCGAGGCAGGGGGTCAGTCAGTACGAGATGTGATGGTAGGTGCAAGAGTGTTACAGGGAAGGGGCAATGAGCCAAGGACTGTGGTGGTGGCGGCTTCTGGAAGCAGAGGGAAGCCCGCGCCCCACTTTTTGCCATGGCAGGGCCCGCGCTGACAGTGATGGTATCTGTGGGCAGGTCAGGGGTCAGCAGAACTGGCTGCTCAGTTAGCCGGTAGCCTGGACACTGAGGTACCACAGCTGAGGGATCGGGGCTCCTCAGACGCACTAACTGGGAAGCCCTGGGGTGGCCCAAGTGCAGAAGACAAGGTCCAAGCTGGAGCAAGCCAGAGAGTAGAGAGGAAGGAAGGATGGAGGCTGAGGAGGAGGGGGTGGGGAGGGACCCAGGAGAGACCCAGGGCGGGACAGGTGAGGCCAGCCATCCACAGACACCCAGCCCCCAGGAGGGGTTAGGCCTGAGAAGGGGTCAAGAGGGGTGGGGGTTTTGCCTCTGCCAGAGGGGCCGTGGCTGGACTCTTGTGAGCAGAGTTGAAGTTAGACTTTAGAAGGAAGAAAATCCTGGAGAGGCTGTCAGTTCTCACCAGAGAGCGGACTTTGAAATGCTGACCCAGGCACCTCCTCATGCCCTTTGCTCCCCCCTTCCTCGCTGGCTCCTCAGAGGACCGGGTCATTCTGGACCTTGTCACTTTCTGCTCCTGGCTGCCACTGCTCAGGGACTATGGAGCTGTGGAGGCAACTGAGGCAAGCGGGACTGGTGCCCCCGGGGCTGGGCCCCCCTCCCCGGGCCCTGAGGGAGGTCCCCCCAGTGGGGAGAGCTGGCCAGACCCTCCTGTCCCCAGGGGCAGACACTGCAGGTGCCAGGGAGAGTCTGCTGTGGATCTGGGAAATGCTGGTGAGTGAGGGGTTCGGAGGGGCAAGAGATGGGGCGCAGGTGGGGGTGGGGAGAGAGAACAGGTGCGTGTGTGGAAACGAATGGAATTGCAAAGGACCAGAGATTGAAGGACAGAGATTGAGAGACAACAAAAGAGAAACAAGCAGAGAGACAGAGAGAGAGATCCAAAGAGTGAGACACAGGAGTAGAGAGAGACAGGGACAGAGAGATGAACAGAGGGAGAGACAGAGATAGAAAGCAGAGACTGAGACTCAGATTAAATCTGAGATGGAGAGAGAGAGACAGTCAAAGGCAGGGGCAGAGAAATAAGACACAGAAAGGGATATGGAGAGACAGAGGCAGAGACAGACAAGGGAGGGGCAGAGAGCAGAGAGACATCGAAGGGAGGCACAGAGACACAGAGACAGTGAGGGATGACAAAATGGAGAGACAAAGCCAGGGAGAGACAGAGGCAGAGATCAAGAGCCCCTGGGAGAAGCCAGCTGACAGTCAAGGTCCCGGACAAGGTGAGGACCCTGCCATGTGCTGCGGGCCCGGATTGCTAAAGAGAAGCTTATTTACAGCATCTATTAAAGACGATGAAGTGGTAGGTGTAGGGGCCACTGCAGCGGGCGGGGGAGAGGGACGGGGGGGGGCGTGGAGAGATGGGCTCAGCTCTGAGCACAGCAGGAGCAAGTGGGGATTTCTAGTGAAGGAGAGGGTGGGGCTCAGCAGATGGGAAATCTCTAGGCAGGGCATCTGGCTTAATGGACAGGATTCATGCTGGAGGCAGGCGGGGGAGATGAGGTGGGGCCTGGGCGTGGATGGGGGATGAGTAAACAGATGAGATATTGGGAGTGATCAGACATGGAGGATGGGAGATTCTTGGTAAAACAGGATTTTACAAGGAAGCGCACAGATGGGCCTGGGAGAAGGTTTAGGAGCTTAGCTGAAGTTTGGTCAAGCAAAGAATCTTGGCTAGGACTCGAATAGGTTTGAGGTCAGGGGCATGCTGATATCCTACCCCCCCCGACCTCCGGGGTGGGATGCCCATGACTCCACCTTCCCACTGGCAGGGGCACCTTCGCCAAGTGGACGTCCAGCTGCTGGGCCAGCTGTGCAGTCTGGGGCTGGAGATGGGGGCGCTGCGGGAGGAACTGGTCACCTTCCTGGAAGAGGAGGAAGAGAGCCTCATCGAGGAAGAGGTGGAGGAAGAGCCTGAGGGGAAGCAGGAGGAGGGACACCTGGGGGCCTCCTGCTCAGCCCCACACCACCACCTCCCTGACTTCGAGGTGACCATCTGAGGCCCTGCTACGTGCTTCTGATTGACACATGAATGAGATGCAAATTTATGCAAAGGAGGGGGCGTTTGCAGTCAGATCAACCTGCCAAGGTTGGGAATCGACCTGAGCAAATGCGTTCTCTGAAGATATCTGTCTGCATCCAGACTGAGGGGCTGGCCTGTGGGGCTTGCTGCCCAGGAGGGAGGTTTGCAGGTTTATTTGCCAATGAACTGCATGCAAGAGGGTTGCAGGAGACACGTGGGTCTTTGCAGATAGGATGGGAGATGCTTGCTGTCCAGTACGGTGGCCAGGGCCCGCAAGTGGCCACTGAAACGTGGCTGGTCTGAACTGTGGCGTGCAGGATGAGTAACCACAGATCGCATTTCAAAGGCTTAGTATGATAAAAATATAAAACGG